AGTCTACAAGTGCTGGCAATAATCTGCCTCATACTCAAAATAATAAAATAATCTGCCTTATACTCAAAGCAAATTCCTGATGTTAAATGTCAGAGTTTGCTACCTCAAGACAGCAATTTCCAAGCTGAGGTGGCCAAACAATCAGCAGTTAGCTACTTATTTGAAGCTCGTTCTTCCTCGTGTCTACCTGCTCAGCAGTATCAAAAGATAAGTGAGGATATTCATTAAACATATTCTTCACCTGAAATACCTCACATGAGCAATTGCTTTAATTACTAAAGTGATGAAAAATAATTACAGAGGAAAATTCTGCAATCTCAGACTAGGCAAGAAGTACCCAAGGGAAAGCCATCATTATAACATCATCCATGTGTTACAAAAGTCAGCTGCGGAACCCTTGGTGCCGTGGGCTCCCTTCTTTCCAAACCCTTGCTAGATGTATGGGGCACAGCCAGATGACCAAGCAGCTTCCTTGTCTTGCTTCTGAACAAGATACATAGGGTTCCCCCATCACAGATCTGTCTCCTTTAAGAAATCAGAAAGTCAGTATCTCTTTATGGTAGAGCAGATGAGTTAAGTATGTTTCAGTACGGCACATCAAGAGGCCAAGAGACACGATGCTCAGTAATTAAATAATGCTTTATATTGGTTCATGACAACGTTAACACCAAGCATCAGCACCTGCCTTTTTCATGCAAAGTAATTTACATAAACTTATTCCTCTACTTCTATACCTCCAGCTGCATTCCATAATTTATACAGACTTACAAATTCTTCCCTCTGACATTAACAAGAGAAACGAGTTGAATAATCAGCTCACAGTATTAAGTGCATTGCATTTACTATCAAGCAAGCTTTTTTAGTTCAGCGGATGATTAATCTCCCCTCCTCAGGTAGAGTACTAGGAGATGCAGAGAGCTGACAATTGCTCTCGGCTTCTGGCCATGCACTCCATACGCTTACCTTGCAACAACAGCATTTGCTGGATCCCTCCAAGAGCTGCTCTAATTCATTAACCCAGCAAAAGAATTGGACAGCTTTCTGCCAGGTCAGTGAATTAAAGTGGCCCACGTAAGGAATGCCAGAGCCAGTAAATAGGAGTGGGAGTTTGTGCTTGGAGCCAGATCTCTCCTTTCTGACAGCAGTGAATCTTTAGATCAGCTCAGCTGCCAGAGGTACTGCAGCCTAATTAGCATCTCTGCTTGCAGCTATCTGTGCTGGGTGTCTCCATTAGGGATAAGCGCACTAATGTAAACCAAGAAGGGGGAAGGGGGAAGAAACCAGGCGACCCAGCACCGTAAGAAATGAAGTGCAGAGCGTCAACGGTTTAAGAGACAGGCTGCAACAGGCAGACCGAGTAGGCCAAATATGGTCTGGTACCTCAGTCTATTTTTAATCCAGGTCTTTCAGCTGTGCTTTGGGACAGTATCAAGAGAAAGGACAGATCCTTGGAGATGAACAGCGGAAGACCCACATGCCAGGCAAGAAACAAAGCCCCCAAAGATTTCAAAATATTAAGCTGTTTGTATTACACCACCTATTGTGCCAATTTCTTTTCCATGCCCCTGCTCTGAGAGCTTTGAATGCTTTCCACTACACTCAGACCTCCAGAACCAAGCTCATCCTTAGCTTGACGCCAACCAGTCATTCCCCTTTGCTCAGGGCTTTTAGACTGCGTAGGAAGGCATGGACTTTGACTCTCAAAGTTTATTTTACTTAAGTTCACTGCTGATGTTTGACCTCGGGCTTCCAGACCACTGTCTATTAACTCAGACACCACCGCTAATCTCAAATCCAGTAACTGGCTCTCCCACCCAGTGTGTTAGGGACCCCATTACATTGCTGCATAACATCGTACCAACCAGATGAAACTCCCCTTTCCACGAGGGACCTTTAAGCCACCCCATATTCTCTGTTACTTTTGCAATTATCCTAAAAGCTACCAACCTGAAAAGCAGGAAAGCCCCGCCATCTGAGCACACCTTTCACTATCTCACTCTGTCCCGCCAACAGGACCAAGCACAGGCCTTGTTCTTAAAAGCAAGGAGAGACCTTATCTGTTGGCTGAAGGAATTTCTGAATCATCCCATGGGAGCACAGGCTTCAAGTCAGCAGCTAAAAAATCCACCAGCTGTTCAGTCTGGGGTATTGCCTTCACACACATGACAGCAGCTGTGTTTGTCACTCACAATAATGGGAGGGAAGGATCATACATCACCCGCAATGACTTAAAGTTAGCACTGTTGTTTGAGCAAGACAATAAAACGGTGAAAGGAAAAGATGCCTTAAAGCATAGCAGTCTAGTCCACATGGACTGAACATGTATGTCAAACAAGTAATAACCAGCATATGTGATGGACAAGATGCTTGACGTTAGCTGTAGATGTTCAAGGTGAAATAACCAACCCATTCTGCTGTATTTTAACAGCATGCTTTAGCTTGAGTAACTACTGAGCCTTCTTCCTTCCCCTAGTTCCTACATCATTAATCAGTGTACTGAGAAAGAGAAAAGTTACAAGCAATTACATCCCAAGGCAGCCCACAGGATCAAAATAGCTTCATACAGAAGGAGTCCTAGACAGACAGATAAAGGGACTCAGAAGATCCAGGATCCCATGCATGCAAAAGTCTGGCATGTGAAAGGCCCTTGGCTGAGGCGCCTTCACCTTCCCCTTCCCCCTGGATTTCTTCGTGTGCCACCATGTGGGATCCTCTGGGTTTGATCAGTACCAGCCATAGCAGCAATAGCAACGCACTCTCCAGCACCCTTACCCTTTCCCAACTAGCTACAGTCTGTGAGCCCAACTCTGCACACTCAGCTCGCACATCTTTAACCATGTCAAATGGTCAGACCAGGCATACCCACCTGTTTCCAACAACCAGTACAAGCATTACGTGTTGTTATTCAGCCTGCTTCTCGGATAACCCCTGCCAGTCTGGCTCCCTCCACAGCCTCCTGGCAACACCACTGCCTCCCAGCAGTCTCCCAGCAACGCTCCCTCCCGCACAGATGGGCTCCCAGTCCCTCCTCACAGGCTAGCCAGCCTCCCTGCACGCTGTGGGCTCCTCAGAGCCAGCATTAGTTGATGAAACACAGAGCTCAGCCCTGCAATGCCATAGAGATGGCTCCTAATATGGAAGAGGAGCAGGAGGGTTGGCAAGAGCTTACATCCAAGGTCAAGGCTCGCATCATTTCCATTAAAAAGAAACACTCTTAAGCTCTAGGCAAGGGTGGGAACAGCAAAAATACATGGGGAAAGCCCAGTGGCTGTTTTATTCCCCATTTCCAGCTTTCCCATCCAACTGGCAGTGCTTGAGATGGCTGCCTGTCTCCAGCAAACAGCTCAGATCTTATGGGTTGGAATGACATCGGACAATCTGGTACTAAAATGATGACTTGCATTTCTGCATGCTGCACCAGCTTTATTTCCAGCCTGATTTCTTCTCATCTACATTTGTGTTTGCTAAGGCACCTGAAGTTCTTTTTACGCACTATCAATGTGCTTTACAGGGTTTGTACTTTTTTTTCTTCTTCAAGATCATAGAATCATAGAATGCTTTGGGTTGGAAGGGACCTGTAGAGGTCATCTAGCCCAACCCCCCTGCAGTGAGCAGGGACAGCTTTAACCACATCAGGTTGCTCAGAGCCCCATCCAACCTGACCTTGAATGTTGCCAGGGATGGGGCCTCTACCACCTCTCTGGGCAACCTGTTCCAGTGCTTCACCACCCTCATTGTAAAAAAATTCTTTCTAATGTCTAGTCTAAATCTATTCTTCTTTAGTTTAAATCCATTATTCCTTGTCCTGTCACAACAGGCCTTGTTAAAAAGATTCTCCCCATCTTTCCTGTAGGCCCCCTTTAAGTACTGGAAGGTCGCAATAAGGTGTCCTCACAGCCCTCTCTTCTCTAGGCTGAACAATCCCAACTCTCTCAGCCTGTCCTCATAGGAGAGGTGTTCCAGCCCTCGGATCATTTTGGTGGCCCTCCTCTGGACCCGCTCCAGCAGGTCCATGTCCTTCTTGTGCTGAGGATGCTAAAGTTGTAGTGCTCCCAGGATGAACTCCGTAAAATATCTTATCAAAGTCATAACCAGCGGTGTCAACCGTGCAGCCACTACCCAGTGCAGAAGGAGCAGAGGCGCATACCAGGAACCATGCACACTTGAGCTGGCACTATCAGTTCTTCCAATCATTGGCACTGAATTCACTCCGTACTTACAGGGGGAAAAATAAACTCTACAAGCCAAACACCCAACTACAAGTAAAACTGAAAGCATTAACAGATTAAATCCGCCCCTGAGCGCCAAAGGCTCTCACCATAAGGCTCTTTATTAGGAAGTTAAGTCTTAACAAGTGGCTTATGGGGTGGATAAAGCTTTTCCTGGGTTAATCTGCCAGCATGTTGCCCAGTGCCAGTTCCAGGCCATGGGAAGAAGAAAGCAAAAAAGTATAAGAAGGTGAAAATCTTTGGCAAATGGATGCCCAGGAGCTGAGAGGTCCTCTCTTATCTTTGTCCCCTGAAGCTCCCTGCCATCTTCAGAAAGTCAAAGAAAAGTATTTTGCTACTCTGCTTGCTTCCTGAAAACAAAACCACATTGGGATTACACCTACAATGCATATGCTCACCCTAATCCTTTGTACCATCAACCTTCCAGAATCTGCCTCCATCGCATTCACTTGAACCACTCCCCAATTAACACAAGGTAATTAACACTTTCGTTAAGGACTGTCTTTGGACAATGCCACCATGGTAAATACACCATGATCCCAAGCACTACTGCTCTTTGTAGACGCCTGTTTATGAGGGGAACATGCACAAGCAGAAAGACGGGAACCCAGTAACGGAAAGTCAGAAGCTATGTTTTGTTTATAATTCTCTCCTTTTCAAGCCTACCACTGATTTGCTGCATACTTAGGAAACAGTCAGCAATCTAATCAACAGCTGCTTTTTCCCAAAGCACCGTGTTGCTCTCGTGGCTCTGCACCCTTCTGCACTTACTGCAAGAGATCCGTTCTGCGTGCTGGCCGTGTTCGTGCTCTGCTCTCCATGCGGCTGCGTGCTTCCGTAGAGCGTCAGATTGTGCTCGCTGGTCTGGCCTGCATAGTCCTGAGTGTGTGGCACCCCATACTCTGTGGGAATCCCGTTCTGTGGGGGTGGCGGAAATGGGATCGTGGTGAATGGCTGCACCATTGCATCAGGAGTTGCTGCTGGCTCCTGGTTACCCTGAGGAAAGGGAAACAGAGAAAACAGCTTTATACTACAGAAGATGGATCAAAACACCGGCCTGAGAAATGATATACACACATGTGTTCACGTGAATATCCCACCCACTGCCACCATAATATTGTACAGTCTTCTATTATCTTCTCTATCAAAAAGAGCATGCCTCGCTCCTCTGAGCCATGACACTGTTTTCTTAATCTTTTTTGGGCAACTTTCTCACTACCAGGTGGCGTATGGAGAACAAATTACGGGGCTTGCAAATTGCATACCCCTGTAATCTCACACAAGGCTTTAGGCACAGTAAGGCATTATTTTGGAAGGGGAAAGACGCACTGAAACATTGGAACAGAGAAGGAAATGCAAACAGAAGAACAGGGTTCTTTAACATGCCTACAAGTACCATATCTGGATCCATCTCCTCCAGCCTAACCCTCATGGCTCTGACCACAAGCAAGGATATCGTGTGGTTCAGAGCACACGCTTCTCTGTTGTGTTACAGTGAGAGAAAAGAAGTACTCATTTTAAAACTCATCTGTGCAGCAACCCCCTCCTTTGCTCTGGCAGCACTGAGTAGAGAAAATGGGTGCTCAGGTACCAGTCACTGGAATATCCCATCTGCTTTGTGCTGACTGTGCAGAAGGCACCAAAGAGCTGTGGGACCCGAGCTGAGAACACAAGCCTGGAGCACGCTCACTCTCTCCCCAGTCCTGAGCATCACTACCATCACACAAGGCATTAATTACCCACTCCTCTCTCAGCTTAGGGTATCCCAGAGACCCCTACGCTAGGACGGTGGACGTTTTAGCAGCTTTTAGCACTGCCTTAGATGTAGTTGACACCATCCAGATGACTCAGAAACAGACAGCTGACCATGCAAAAGATACCCCCAAAAGACAGTACAAAACCTACCCCACCATGCCCGAAAACCATCCAAAGCAAACACGAAAGCATGCAGTCCTGCAGCCACCGCAGGGATCTCACTGAGGGGGGAGCAGGGAGCTGCATTCAGCCACCCAGGGCAAAGGAGAACAGCCTTGACATTGAAACCCAAGCCTGGGAAGCCCAGGCTGCTGCACCGCTCCTACTGCTTCCACCACCGCAGCAGAAAAAAACCCACAGAAAAGATTTATGACAGGAGGGCTGTTTGATTTATGTGCGTGTCAACAGACTAATCCTGATTTTAAATTTTGGCTGCTATTCCAGCCCCGGGTCCTCCTCCACAAAGCCCGGAGGTGCTCGAGCATATTCTGACACCAGCATGCTTAAATCAATGGAGTAGAAGAGAAGCAGACCTTATCCTGCAGATAGGAAAGGCAGAGTGGGAATCACCAAGCAGCCTTTCAGCAGAGAGCATGCAGGGGCTGACAGACCTCCAGTGAAGCCGGACAAACCTTTCAGTCCCTTTATCAGCCTACCTGCAGCTTTCCCTTCCGGGCGAAGTAAACAATGATAAATGCAGCGCACCTCCACCCAGCACCAGGTCATTCAGACACTGGCTGAATCCCAAATTTGCTCTGACTTTAGTCTATCTGGTCTGCCTCCCCTGGGGGCCACGTGGCCACACGCTCCCGCAGCTGGGGAGAAGGAGAGGGAAGGGCATTCAATACCACTTAGCAGAGCTGAGCTGCAGCCGTGGCCCGCACCAAACAACGGAGGGTTTCATTAACTAAGGTCCAGCCGCTGCAAAGCCTTGCTGCCTGCAGAAACACAAAACTCCGCAGCCTTATCTGAGAAAGAAAAATTCAGGCAAGCATGCCAGCCACGGCCAGTGCTCGGTTCCTTGCACGCACTCCCCCGAGCCGTCGCAGCCCTGTGTCGCGTGCTAGCAGCTCTGCGGAGGTGTTTCACACGCTGAGCACGTTTTCTGAAAGCAGGACAAGGGGGCTCCCCCTTGCCCCCCCAAAAAGGTGGGCAGCTCCACCAGCCCTCCGCTTCTGCTCGCTCCTTTGCCATTCTCAGCTTCAAAGCAGGGAGCTTCTGATTCAACCTAAACCATCATCAAGATCTGCAAGGCGAGTTTCACAAACGGCAGGGAGGAGAGGCTGAACGATGGATATCCCACTGCAAACCAGGGATCAGCGACCCCACCACTCACCTACTCGGAGTATTTATCCCCTGTCACGACAGCTCCACTCTGTCTGCATACTGCCTCCTTTTCAAGCTCTTTCGCTCACAGTATTTCATTATATCCAGTTGTCTGTGTGCTTCCATACAGCCCACATTGTCTGCCCATTTCTTGTGTTTAAAATAGGAGCTAAATATGAAACCGAATTTTTTTTAAAAAAATTTCAAATTGGTAGGGTAACCCCGGGAAAGATGCAGTAGCAGAAACTATTTCCAATTTTCTTAGAACAACCTAGATTTACAAGCCAGTAGTACCCCAGATAGGAGGAAGAGAATGCTAATTAGCCACAAACAAAACCTATTCTGCCATCCTCTCAACGGTGCAGGGCTCCTCCCCAAAGGACATACTCCAGCATTTTGTTTAATCTCACTCTTAGACTACTTAAAATGCCAGCCCATAAACCTTATATAATCTTATTTTCAATGTTTTTACCCCTCAGTTAATACTGTTCCTTCCAGTTTAAACACATTTCAACCTTTTAAATATTTTCTCTCCCTTCTTCAATTATCTACAAATGTTTGAAGGACAAAAAATGCTCTCTTCTGTTGCTTATGGTGTTTTGATAATGCATATTTATTTTGAGCTTAATCACACCCTGCAAGCCAAAATATCCTGGTAACTTTATTTATTACTTCTCTCTGACCTTCCTAAGATTTTCAAATAAGGGATTTCTGGTGCAGAATGAAATATTTTTAATACCATTGTCACTTCCCCCTTTTTTTTCTCTAATCACGCTCACATGCAAAAATCCTATCTTTTATTACAAATGTATCCTTAATTTAATGTCTCAGGTTATCTGTAGATCTATCACCATTATGCTTGTCCAGGTTTCATCATCCCATGGAGTATCCGTATCTCAAATTATTTTTCTCCTGATATGAATATGTACATGTTTCCCATCTGATTTTTTTTTTGTAATTTTAATTTCCTTTGATGCTTTAGAATTACTTTTCTTCTGTTTCCACTAATGCCTACAGAAAAGGACTCCTGATGAGATCTCTGCAGGTTTCACAGCATACTGATATCCTCCAAACCCAGAGGAGATTCTACCTCTTCTGTTATTCTACCAAATTTCAACATTTACACAACACTTCATATTTTCAAGAACTAACACAGCAAAAAAAAAAATCCCATTTATCTTCAAACATAGAACCT